AATGTATACTATTTTACCACGAACTAAAAATTTAAAGAATGTTTTAGAAATATTGACTTAATATATATTTGTATGTATTTATATAATTTAGTTTTAATATTTGTATTAATATAAAAAGTTATGATTTTAACTTACTATTACTTGCTAAACTACTGATAATAAATTAAAAGCATTTACTCATACTTTTTAAGTTATTTATAATCTTTTTCTTCTTTCTTTCTTTCCCTTACAAATAACATATCGTAACATGCATTGTGATTACTTTTTTTTAGATCTACATAAATCAATGATAATATAGTAATAAATAATTACTAACTTAGTAATTAATCATTAAAACTTAAATGTAATCGGTATAACTTAATAATAATTATCCATAATTTAGCAGTACATTAATGATAACTTGATAGTAAATGAATGATAATTTAGTAGTCAATAATTGATAACTTTTTAATAAATCATTAATAATATAATAATAAATGTATAATACCTTAATGGTAAATTAATCATAATATAATTGCAATTGCATAACAACATCATACTAAATCAAGGATAATTTAATAAAAATAAGTGATAATTTAGTAGTTGTAGATATCTCATTTTATTTAGAGTTTAAGATTGATTTTATTTTATTTATTTATTTATCTTTCATTAAAAAAGATAAAAAAAATGACATAGACTTAGTTGAAGAAGGATTGTTTGATTGGATAACAAATTTTTTTTTTTTAAATAAAATTCAATCATAATTAACTATCAGATAAATTCTATCAAAAATTTAATATAAATTAAAATACTATTTAGATTGAAATTCTCACAGATAAATAAATCTATTAATCATCAGCAGGACAGAAGAAATCAAAGCTGAAGCTTACGGAGGAAATTGGAACATAGCTTTTAATAATAATAAAAAAAAAACAGCTTTGAGATTGTCGTCACAAGTAAGTTATTCCTAAAGACCATTTTTTGCCACCATTCTTTATTACTGTTACTAAAAACCATTGTGTTGATGACAATTGTTTACTACTGTTCCAAGTCAATTATATTAATTATATTGTTGTGGCCCATTGTTTTTTTGTACATAATTTATGTAGACATGAGACCATTAATTTTATAAGATCTTTTTGTTTTGTCTATCATATTTTTATTCTTTCTTGTTAGTGATATGCTGTAGGGCCATTTAAAGTTTAATTAAAGATGTAGTTGGTTTAATTAAAAATATCATATACCAATAATTTTTATTCATAAGTTCATTAATAATAAAATTAATAAAATAAATAATTTATAAATTCAATATTTTTGTATTTTTTTCATCATATAATTTAAATAAAATTTTCTTTAAAAACAAATGAAAGTTAACCCCAATAAAAAGAAGTCAAGAATGGTTGATTTTTTTTTATATAAATTTTTAAGTAAGGGATTTTTTTCTAAAGTTAACCTAAATGGTAGAATAATTTAGATGAAATTTCAATAAAAGTAATTATATTTTTTTTAAATTAAAAATTAAAAGTATGACTTTAAACAAATTTTGGTGTGAAAATATTTGACAATTATCCAAGGATGAAATCTTAAGAAAAATCACAAATGATTGAATTTTCATAAGATTTCTAAGTGAAAACTATTTTTTTTTTCTAAATTCAACCAAAATGGTAAAAAAAATTAGATGAGAATTAAAAAAATAGTTGTCATATTATTTTTCTAAGGATTAAAAAGCAAGTGATGAATAAATAGAATAAAGATATTTCTAAATAAACCCAAATGGTAAAAATTTTAAAAATAAAACTTGTAAAATAAAAATAAATTTCAATGATGAAATTTTTGGTAATCACAAATGGATGATTATCTAAGATATTTCTAAGTAAGAAAATATTCATAATAAACCCAAATGGTGGAAGAATTAGATATGTTTTCAATAAAACAAAAATTAATAAAGAAATTGATTAAGCTTTCTGACAACAAAATCTCTTCAAAAAATTTTTTTAAATACTTTTGAAGTGAAAAAATATTTTTAAAAATTTTATCAGATTGATGAAAGAATCTTAGAAGTCATTTTCAATATTCAAACATTGAAATAAAGATCATTAGAACCAAGATAATTGTTAGGATAACTTAAAATTAAATGGTACCATCTTAGGATGAGTGTTGTGGGGGTGCTATAATCTTTCTCACGCGTAATCAAACTTTCAAATTTAATTCTATTCAGAAAGTCAGAACTTATTCTTTAGGGACCTTTAGTCAAGGTTAATAACTCTTTAAAAAGATATATTCATTAGGTGATCAATCATATCTAGATAAAATATTAGTGGTGACTCCTCTTGTTAAGTCTAGCTGTAGATTTAATGATCTATACGTTATGACAGTATTTAATTATTAGTAAGTTAGTAATAAATCAATGATAACTTAATAGTAAATTAGTGATAATTTAATAATAAATCAATTTCGGTTTAATAGTAATTAATTAATTGTAGTAAATATAAACAAATTAGTAGTAAATCAATTATAAATTAAAAGTAAATAATTGATAATTTAGTAGTTAACCATTGAAAACTTAAAAGAAAATCAATATAACTTAGTAGTAAATCATTGATAACATAATAGTTAATCAAGTTATCAATGACAACTTAATAGTAAATCATGCATAATTTAATATTAATCAATAATAATTTGATAGTGAATCATAGATAATTTAATGATAAATTGATGATAATTTTGTAATAAATAATTAAAAATTAAGTAGCAAATTAATGATAACATAATACTAAATACATAAAAATATAATATAAAATCATTGATAATTTAGTAGTAAATTAATAACTTAGTAGTAAATCATTAATAACGTAGTAGTAAATCATTAATAATTTAGTTGTAAACCAATGATAATTTAGTAGTTAATTAGTTAATTACTGATAACTTTTTAGTAAATTATTGATAAATTAGTAGTAAATAGATTATAACTTTATAATAAATAATCAATAATTTAGTAGTAAATCGCTAATAATTTAATGGTAAATCATTCATAACTTAGTTGCAAATCATTCATAAATTAGTAGTAAATCATTAATAATTTAGTAATAAATCATTTATAACTTAGTAGTAAGTAACTGATAACTTAATTGTTAATCATTTATAACTTTCTTTATACTTAAACTTGCTAGGGCTTAAACCTTGATTACAACAGAAACAAAGTCAAAACTTTTATTTTGGAGTTACGATAAACATACTATAAATATATTCAATAAAAAAAATTAGTGAAAAATTTTTAAACTTGAATAAAATGATAATGTTATTATATAAAAAGAATATTATCTCACATATTATTACTGGACTTTTAAATTTCATATTTCACAATTGTAAATATATAACAACATATTAGTAAATTAATAATAAGTTAATAAAAAATAAGTGAAAACTTAGTAGTTAATAATTGATGACTTAATAACAAATTAATGATAATTTAATAATAAATTGGTTATAATGTAATAGTGAATTAGTTTCAATTTAATAATAGTTAATTGATAAATTTAGTAGTAAATAATAAATAACTTAGTAATAAATCAATAATAAGTGTGTTATTATTGATTGGAATTTAAAAGTAAATCAATATAATTTAGTAATAGTTAATCATCAATAACTTAATAGTTAATCGATAATAACTTAATAGTAAATTATGGATAATTTAATATAAATTGGTTATAACTTGATAATGAATTATGGTTACTTTAGTAATAAATCTATGATAACTTTAGTAAATAATAAAAAAATTAAGTAGTAAATCAATGATAACATAATAGTAAATTACTAATAACTTAGTTGTAAATCAATGATAAATTAATAGTAAATTAATTAATCATTGATAACTTTGTAGTAAATTATCGATAAATTAATAGTAAATCAATTATAACTTTATAACAAATTATTAGTAATTTAATAGTAAATCATCAACAATTTAGTAGAAATCACTTATAAATTAGTGATAAATTATTCATAAATTAGTAGTAAATCAATGTTAATTTAGTAATAAATCATTAATAATTTAGCTGTATATTATTGATGACTTAGTAATAAATTATTGATAATATAATAGTAAATCAATAATAACTTAATTATCAATTATTAATAAATTTTTTATATTTAAAGTTGGCAGGAATTGACCTTGGTTACTAATAAAAGCGAAATTAAAAATTTTATTTTGGGAGGCTAAGATAAACTTATCATAAATTTATTTAATAAAAAAATTAAGTGAAAAAAATTTTAAATTTGAATAAAACAATAATGTTATTATATAAAAAAATTTATTTTATACTAAAACTAAACTTATGCTTTCTTACTGGAATCTATTATTATATATATGATGATACAAATTTTATAAAAAATTATCAAAAGTATATTATTAGTTACCAAAAAATTACTAAAATTATATCAAAAGATTACTAAAATTTTGTCAAAATTATCAAAATTGTATAAATGATTACCAAAATTTTATCAATGGTTATCAAAATTATATCATAAGTTACTAAAAATATATCAAAATTACCAAAAATGAATCGAAGTTACCAAAAAATTTTCAAAGGTTATCAAATTTTACTTATATTATATTAATATTTATCATTATTATTATAATATAAAAATATTTATTAAACTAAAATTTTAAAGATAAAAATTACAGGTGCCTTGTACATGTGTCAAACACTAATATACATATATATATTTATATTATAATTACAAATGGACGCTATATGTCATAAGATCTAAAAATAGAGAAAATGATTTGTCAAAATGGATCATTGTTGTACTAGTTAATACTAATAATACAAAATATATAATAAAGAAAAAAATATTGATAGAATGATGATGTCATTCGTTTGACCATGGAGTTGGTAAACTAAACCCCTAAGGTTGGCAACCTTTGGCATTGGCTATCGGCTTAAGCCCCACGCAGCTGATACCAGAAAAAAAGAAAATTACCCGCCGCATATAATCTTAAATACTTATTACTTGTTAGTTACCCTACCTGGCAGTGTACGGCAATTCCATGCAGCTTTAAACTCAACCCCTTGGATTGGAAGATCCTAAACCATTGCAGGACATGGCATAGTTTCGTTTCTTTGTTACTTTCGACATGTCCTAATTCTATATATGACCCAAGTCTCAACTAAAAACAGCAATGAGTGATTCTCTCTCTCTGTCTCTCTCTCTTGAGAATTTTCGTTTGAACTTTGAACATTTCTTCATGGTTACTATCATCTGGTGACTATCTTTTTTTTATTTTCCTTGTTGGTTGTATTTCAAGTCTTCGTGATCCATTCGAACTCTTGTCAGTTGTCACCTTCTTCTTGCAGGACACGCATATTCATTCTCTACTGCCTTTTTTTTTTTATCCCATTTGTTTGTTTGACCTTATGGTTGTGCCTCGTTTTTATGGTATTCTGGGATGGATGTGGGAAATTGTATTCAAGGTGGTTGGCTAAAGATTGTTTATTTAGTGTTTGCTTTCTTTTCTGCTCTCTTTCTTGGTGCTATCAAAGGTTCTATTTTTTTTCCTTCTCTTGATGTTCTTTCAGCACATGATGTTTCATTTGTTTAATTCAATTTGGTGGCCGTTGTTCTTGATGTTTCTTAAGGTGATTTTTCATTGAATGATTCCAGGTTTACTTGTTGGACCTATTGCTGGTTTGATACTAATAATAGGGAATGTTGGGGTCATCCTGGGATTGTTACCTGCACATATTGCCTGGACTGCGTACACAATTATAAGGTACACCATCCAAGAAATTTTGTTTCTTCAAATAGCATTGAAAGACTGTTTTTCTTTGGGGTGATTTTGGCTACAGGAGATTATGTTCTATTCGGGATTAATTTTCTTCACTTGCTTGACAAAGGGTTGATAATTGCAGGACTAATAGATATGATGCACCCCTTAAAGTTGCTATTTTGATTGCTTTGCCTGCGTTATTTGGTATATGGATGGCTTTAAGCATAGCCGGGAGTGCTCTTGTGGGAATTGGTTATGGCTTCTTCACTCCCTGGGTTTCAGCTTTTGAAGCCTTTAGACATGAGAATCCGTCCAAGAGATTCTTTCATTGTGTTGTGGTAATTTATAGTTATTTCATCAGTTTGTCGTCTGAACTCTATTTTCTGTTTTCTTATATCCTACTGTTTGATTCTGGTTAATTTTCTGCTTTTTATTACCGATTAGGATGGAACATGGGACACTGTAAAAGGAAGCTGCACTATGGTTAGAGACTTTGCAGATTTATGTTTTCATTCATACTTGCTCTGCTTGAAGGAGTTACGTGAATCCCCCATTCCAAATGAGCTCCAAACTCTGCGGTAATGTTGGCTTTACTGGTAGCTGTTAACCAATATTATTATACTTGCAAATTTGATAATTAGATTGTTAGGACTAATCAGTTTGCCTCAAAACTTTTACCCTTTTGAAAGCTATCTTGCAGGTTGATTCATGTGCCAGGACTTATCGTTGTTGGATTGCTTGGACTAATTGTGGATATTCCCTCTTACACTATAATTGCTGTAGTTAAGAGTCCATACATGTTATTTAAGGGATGGTTTCGACTGACACATGATCTAATTAGCAGAGAAGGCCCATTTCTTGAAACAGTTTGCATCCCCATTGCTGGTTTGACAATCCTTTTCTGGCCAATTGTTGTCATTGGGAGTATAGTAGTTGCTATTTTTTCTAGTTTCTTCATCGGATTGTATGGATCAGTCATCGTATATCAGGTTGGTTTATGCTTTAACTATGCCTTTATTTTAATAATTTCGCCTATTTTTCATAGATGCTAAGGAATTTCATGGATGCAGGAAAGATCTTTTCGGAGAGGCGTTGCTTATGTGATTGCAATGATTGCTGAATTTGACGAGTACACAAATGATTGGCTCTATCTTAGAGAGGGGACAATCTTCCCAAGGTAATCAGCTTTCTTATCTTTTGAACATTTGCCTCTGGCGGTGCATTATGTTAGCATTTTTTTTTCACAGCCAGGCCCTCTTATCGCAAGAAAAGTGGTTCAGAACCTGAGTATTCTGTTGGAGGACTTGGTGGCAAATTCAGTTCTACTTCTGGTGAAGTACCTGCAATGCTCGTGCCAAGCTTGGTTCATTCGGTATCAGTTAGAGAGGCAATAAATGAAGTGAAAATGGTTCAGGTTGGTTTCAATTATGCAACAGTTTTTGGTCTCTCCGCAACTGATTGCTTTTTTGGTTTTATTAATACTGGAATATTGTTTGATCGGTAGTATTAACAGAAAGAGTTCCTACCATGAAACAGACCATACACTAAAAGAGTTGTAAGGAAATGAACATTGAGAAAGACATCTTTCTGATCTTTTAATGGTTACTGGTAATTGGCCTGAAATGTAACAGATTTGGACAAATATGATGAAATCTTGTGAAATAAGTGGCAAAGATCTATTGGATGCTGATGTAATAACTCCAGTGGACCTCTGTGAATGGTTGAAGGCAAAGAGTGGTAATGAAGCAGCCATTATTGGTGTTGGCCTGCCATGTTATTGTTTCTTGCAGAGTCTCCTCAACTCTATCAGATCAGGTTCTAATGGTTTGTTATTGCCCGATGGTGTTGAAATAAACCATCTGAATAGGCCAAAAGACAAACTGTTAGATTGGTTCTTTAATCCTATAATGGTCCTGAAGGAACAGATCAAGGTTATAAAACTGGAAGACAGTGAAGTTAGGCTGTTGGAGAAGTTGGTTCTTTTTGGCAACAATACAGAACGGATTGATGCTTGGGACAATGGTAGTTCAATCCCTCAAGATTCTCTCAGAGCTGCTCAAATTGAAGGCATAAGCAGAAGGTTTGAATTTCCTTTATTTTATGCTTAATACTGAACTACAGATTGCAAATTGTTTGAGTAAATTGCACCATAGTATGATCTTTGTTCATTATTTCATTTCATCTATAAACTTTAAAAGGTAACTTCAAAAATCGAGTTCCATGAATTAAAATGAAATATTATACAAAAACCACATATGATTGGTGAATTTTACTCAAATTCTTTTGTTTAAGAAACTCTTCTGAGATCAAGTTTTCCTTCTCCATTGAATCTTACTTTGATGATAAAAACAAACCAACAGGATGGTTGGAATGGTTAGAAGTGCATCGAAATTGCCAACATACAGAAGGAGATTTCGCCAGGTTGTGAAGGATTTAATTGCACATGCTTCAGAGAAACAGGATATGGCTAGATGCAATTCCATGGCATCAACTTCTTGCTCTGAAGAAGTGTAGAACTCATTTACACACACACAAAAGCTTGCAGTAGAATTGTGATGTAAAAGTATAGATTACAAGTGATGTATCTATAATTTATACAGAGTAGGCGTTGAAAACCTGCTTCTTTGAAAGATACAAGTTGTCTTCATTGAAAATGGTAGACTTTTTATTTTTTTATTTTTTTGGCATTAAATTTCAAACAAAGAAAGGATGTTTCAAGCTCAAATCTTCCTCTTTCAACTTGAAATTTCATAGGGAAAAAGGGGAGGGGCTGTAAAATTAAGAATAATAATTAATTATTAGAGATGTTAATTTCGAGATTTAAGTTTAGGATTGGAGTGGGCCAACAGATTTCAAGAGATTCAGCCCATGGATCTTCAAAATTGGGTCTTAAGGCTAAGTTTGTACATTTATCTCTAGGAGGCGTTTGGCTTATGGAATCTTGAATTTCGAAATAAAGTGTGATCCCTAATAAAGTGCGATATTCAAGATTTTTTTTTTTCATTTTCAGAGCATTCCATGTTCAAATTCATTTATTTGATTGGAAAAAATTCACATATATTATTTTATGAACAATTATCATTGTCATAACGGTTTTGTATCCGTCCGACGAATTTGAAAATGAAATAAAAAATAACGGAGTCACCACCAATCTTTTTCTGATTAGGTGCGATTGGCCTCCTATTAAAACATATCATTTTAATGAAATCTTAAAATTAATTAAAATTTATTAAGAAGATAATTTTCGGGTCTGCGTAACAGTTTGGTTCGGGAGTCAGTTACGTGTAGGGAATGATTAGCACCCCCACAGCGCCCGTTTAAAATGGTACCAATTAACTACATGTTATCCTTTGATTTTGATTAAAAAAAGTCATATTTTTTGTGTTTGAAAATTAACTTTCTTGATTTTTTTTATTTTTTATTTATTGTCTTTATATTCAAATATTATTCAAGAAAAATAAATTAGAGCTTTTTTATTGAAATAATTTTTAAAATGTTTCAGTACGTTGGTAACATTAGAAGAACTCTTTCTCACCTAGAGATTTTTTAGGCATCGCTTCTCAGAATACCTTAGAATCTCATCTTTGGAAGCTCAAATTTATCTTTTTCACAAAAGATTACGTCATGCATACAATGCAAATAATAATATGTTAATGCACGCATTTTATTCCTTTTTCTAGAAATTTTATTAATTGTTTTATTAATTTTGAAGAAAATTTTTTTTATTGTATTGAAGTATTTCTATAAATATTCTAATAGACTAGTAATATTTAAAAAAAAATCTTCTCACATAAAGATTTTATAAAGCATCACTACTTGAAATACTTTTAGAATCGCATCATTAGATAAATTTTCTTTTTCTTATTTATACTATTTTTAATAAATTAATTAATTTTTTTGTTATTTTATAAGAAAAAAATTTTATTCTATTAAATTTTTTTTATAAATACTCCAATACACTGGTAATATTAAAAAAAATCTTTTCATCTAGAGATTTCATAGGTATCACTACTCGGAGTACCACTGAATCTTATCGTCGGATAAAAATTTCTTTTTCCTTATTTTTTTATTATATTAATTAATATTATAAAACAATAGAAATTTATTTTGATAAATTTTAAATTTTAACATGCATAAATATTAAGAATAATAATTAAAATACCAAATATAATATATATATAAAATAAAAAATTTTTTTACCTGACCAGTCCGGTCAACGAGCGATTCGGACTGACGGTTTGGTTTGACGTCAACGGTTTGGTCAGGTTCAGATGGATCGATCAGGGGCTGAAGGAGAAACAGGTCATGTTGGGTGCGCGGATCTCAGGTTGGGTCACAGATCGATGCACGGATCCTTAAGATTCAAAACGGCATCGTTTTGGGCATTATTGAAACGACTTTGTTTTGGGTTTAGTCTTCTATATAAAAGTCAAAAAAAATTTTTTCATTCATTCTTCTCCTTTCAGCAGAAAAAAAAGCCTTCATTTTTTTTTACTCAGCAAAAAAAAAATTGTCGATCGGCCTGCACCTTTGTCGCCGTTTGTCGGTCACCAGTCGTCGTCACCCATGGTTGAAAAATCTCAAAAAACCTAAAAAAATTCTTCTCGTCCCCTTAAACATAGATCTGGGCTTGGTTTCACCCGAAAGTATCCCAAACGACCCAGATCGACCTTCAAAGTTTCAGCAAAAAAAATTTTTTTTGGTGCGTTTTTCTGGTTTACCTTTTTTGTATGTTTTTATAGGTGTATTTTGGTGCTGGGTTCCCCATTCCAGGGACTGTTTCTATTTTTTTTTTTTTTGCAAAAAAAAAAATTTTTACAATTTTTTTTTAGTTTCTTCCTCATTTTGTTTGCAGATTACAAGCTCTATTTATAAAAAGCTTATTGTGATTCAAATCCCAGATTTTCTGAAATTCGATTCTTATTTTTCAATCGAAAATTCATGCTTGCCACACGTGTTAGACGACTTGCCGGTCGATCGTTGACAGCTAGCAGCGACGATTTTAGACTTTAGGGATTGTGCATTTAATGCACTAGATTTGAACTGAATAAAGAAGAAGAAGGAAAAAGAAAAAAAATAGAAAAAAAATAAAAAAAATAAATAATAATAATAATAATAATAACAATAAAAAAATGATGTTTACAACTGTCTTTCTTTGCCTATTTCTGAGAATCAGAAATAAAGCAAAGACAAACAAAAAATCATTTTGTTCTTGAAAGAAAAAAAACATTGAGCATAAAAAAAATTTTTTTTAAGGCTTAAAAAGTTCAGCAACATTTTTGAAAATTTAAAAGGCTCATATGAGCAGAGACTCAACAACTTTAAAATTCTCTTGAAAAAGCTCCTCCCAACAGAGGCTTAACAACTTTTAAATTCTCATCTTGGAAAAGCTTAATAGAGGTTCAACAACTTTAAAAAAATCTTATCTTGGAAAAGCTCCTCTCAGTAGAGGCTCAATAACTTTAAGAATCTCATCTTGAAAAAACTTATCTCAGTAGAGACTCAACAACTTTAAACTTTATCTTGAAAAAGCTTATCTCAGCATAGGCTTAACAACTTTAAGAATCTCATCTTGAAAAAACTCCTCTCAGCAGAGGCTTAACAACTTTAAACTTTATCTTGAAAAATTGATTTTTCATCTTTAAACAAGCAAATTTCTCTTATTTTAAATCTTTCGTTTGATTATTATTTTTCTTTGAATATCAAAATCTTTTTTTTTTTTATTAGGAAATGAAAAGTTTCTATCCTTATTAAAACTGCTCATGGATGCATGTACTGAGTGCTTTGAATGCAATGCATGTAATGCAATCAAAATTATCCATTGTAGTAAAAAGGTTCTCGAAATCTCTCACTTTTTGTTTCTTTTATCGAAATTCTCAACAATTGCCATATAACGAATCTATTTTGGCCATTGTATTCTTCCTTGACAATACTTTTCTTCTTCAAAAGTTTGCACCATTAATGTCTTGTCATGCTTTTCTCATCCTTTTTCATCTGCCTTTGTTAACTTTTAAAAAGTAATGCTGAGATCTTTCATGTTTATTTTTCTTTTCATCATTTTAAGTTCAAGACAAACAATATGCAATCGCACATTTCACCTATTTGTACGATGAATAAAAATATCAAATGAGAATAAAAGAATGAACATGTATTGTCTTTAAAGAAAAAATAGCATATTTTATTAGATGACGAAGTGTTTGAGTTGAAAAAAAGGTATCCAAAGAATGATCATAAGATAATCATGAACAAAATATTTCCAGATTTTTTTTTAAAACTAAATCAGATGACTTCTTTGATCATTCAGAGTTTGTCAAACTACACTTACCCCTATATTATGAAATCTTCTCTTGATAATGCTTCTTCTTCATATCCAAGCCATCTTTTCAGGTTTTTATCTCAGATAAGTCGTCATTTTTTCTCTTTTTTTTAAGTAAAATATTTCTTCACAACATCTGAATTTATTGAAGTAGGCAAATCACCTCCGTCCATCTCTGCCAAAATCAATGCCCCACTAGAAAAGGCATTTTTCATCACATCTGGGCCTTATCAATTTGGTGTCCATTTTTTTTATTATCATATTGATTTGAAAGGATTCTTTTTAGCACTAAGTCTCATTCCCTAAAGCAACGGGGATGAATTTTTTTATCATGTGCTCTCATCATCCTCTTTTAATATAATTGACCATGACAAAGTGCTGACAGTCTTTTCTCTCCAATGAGGTTTAACTACTCGTAGCGATTCTGAACTCATTCTGCTTCCTCTAACTCTACCTGCATCAAGACTCTTAATGAGAAAATTTTCACTTCAATCGGTAACACAACTTTCATTCCATATATCAAAGAGAATGGGGTGACTCCAGTAGATGTTCGAACTGATGTTTTGTAAGCATACAAAGCAACAAGTAACTTCTCATGCCAATCTTTATAAGTTTTAGTCATTTTTTCTAGAATTCTTTTGATATTCTTATTCGTAGCCTCCACTGTCCCATTCATTTTCGAATAATACGGTGTCGAATTACGATGACGGATCTTAAACTGGGTGCATACTTTATTCATCATTTTATTGTTTAAGTTTTTGGTATTATCAGAAATAATTATTTTTGAAAGCTCATATCTGTATATTATCTCTCTTTTTATGAACTTACATACTACAGATCGGGTCACACTAGCATATGATACAGCTTCTACCTATTTATTGAAGTAATCAATCATCATAAAAATGAATCTATGCCCATTCGAAGCTTTTGGAGTGATGGGACCAATGACATCTATGCCGCACATAAAGAATGGTCACGGAAGAGCCAGAACGTGTAATGTTGATGGTGGAGCATGAATCTTGTTAACATAAATATGACATTTATGACATCTCCTAGCATAATCAATACAGTCGCCTTCTATTGTCAACCAATAATAGCCAGCCCTCATAATTTGTCTAGCCATCTATGACCATTTACATGTGCCCTACAACTCCATCATGCACTTCTTCAATAATCTTTTTTGCTTCAATTGCATTTACATATCTTAAGAGCACTTGATCTCGACCTCTTTTGTAAAGGATATCTCCATCAATGAAGAAACTCATAGCCAATCTTCTGATAGTCCTCTTATCATTTTTTGTTACATGTTCTGAGTATTACTGGCTTTTAATGTATTGCATGATATCATGACACCATGGCTTC